TCGGCCATAGAAAAGAATGAAATCTTACCTTCTCTTTTATGGCTGAAAAATATTTCTGTGTGTGTGTGTGTGTGTGTGTATACACACAAATACACTTTCTTTATCCATTCATCTGCCTTCATCTGCCTGTGACACTCAGGTTGTTTCCATGGCTTGGCTATTGTGAATAATGCTGCAGTGAACATGGAATGCAGGTGTCTTTTTGAGATAGTGATTTAATTTCCTTTAGGTACATATTCAGAAGTGGGATTGTTGGATTAGATGGTAGGTCTATTTTTAATTTTTTGAAGAACCTTTATATTGTTTTCCATCATGGCTGTACTAATTTACACTTCCACCAACAGTGTGCAGTGCGCCCTTTTCTCTGTATCCTTACCAGCCTCTGTTATCTCTTGTCTTTTTTATAATAGCCCGTCTGACAGGTGCAAGGTGATATCCCATTTTGGTTTGGATTTGCATTTCTCTGATAATTAGTGATGTTGAATACCTTTTCATTTGCTTCTTGGCCATTTGTATGCCTTCTTTGGAGAAATGTTTACTCAAGTCCTCTGTCAGTTTTTAAATTGGGTTTTTTCTACTTAGTTGTATGATTTTCTTCTTATTTTATGTATTAACATTTAATCAGATATATGGTTTGCAAATTTCTCTCCCATTTTGTAAGTTGCATTTTCATTTTTTGATTTTTTTTGATGTGTAGAAGCTTTTTGGTTTGATTTCGCCCCAGCTGTTGGTTTCTGCTTTGGTTGCTTATGCTTTTTGTGTTATACCCCAAAAGTCATTGTTCAGACTCCTGTCAAGAAGCTTTTCCCTGCCTTTTTCCCCTCTAGGAGTTTTATGGTTTCAGGTCTTACATTTAAGTCCTTAATCCATGTCAAGTTAATTTTTGTGAGTGGTATTGGATAGAGGTCCAGTTTTATTCTTTTGCATGTAAATACCCAGTTTTGTCACCATCCATTATTGAAAGGATTGCTCTTTCCCTATTGAGTATTCTCTTCCTCATCAAATATTAATTGACCATATATGCGTAGAATTATTCTGTTCCATTGGTCTATGTGTCTGTTTTTATGCCAGTAATATGCTGTTTTTACTACTCTAGCTTTGCTGAATATTTTCATATATACCTCATAAAGGTCCTATAGCATGAGCACATGCCTACATGCCTGCAACCCAAGGCAAATAAATGTCAAGCTCTCCCAGAAATTCTTTTCTCAGACTTCATTACAGTTGATATCTTCTGGTTGGGGTGCATTTTCTGCAACTCAACAAGGAGTCACCAACATAATGATGGTGATGATAGTGGTTATGACAATGTTAATAATCACTGTTTCTCATATAGCATTTACCATAAGCCAAGCTCTGCTCTAACTTTTTTATATGCAATAATATATGTTAAGCCTCATGACAGCCCTGTGAAATATGTATTGTTATTATCCCCATATTACAGATGGGGGAATTGAAACATAGAGGTTAATTTGTCTAAGACTTGCCCAGTGTCACACTGCTAGTTAAGTGGTGGGTTGGGAGATAAACCTAAGCAGTCAGACTAAGAATTCTTTCCCTTAACTATTATGCTATATTGCTTCTCAGTTTCCTCTTTTTGAAGAGTCCCTGATCTCATTGAGTTATTTTCTTGAATCTCTCCCTCACTTGCCTTTGAGGAGAGAAGAGCACCCTATCCTCCCCTCTCCCAGTAGTAAACAGGGGAACTTCTCTGACCACAAACACTACTATTTCCACAAGGTCAACAGCTCCTGTAATGGCATTTTCCTTTTTTCTCCCAAGTCCTCTGAAGACTGGAGGAGGGAGCTTGGGAGAGATGAGGTGGTGGTTGATGGCAGTAAGTTGAGTTCTGTTGGCTCTTCTTAAGCTTGGAGGAAGTGTCTGACTCTCTTTAGAACTTGGGTACCTAGCCATTGTTGTTAGCCAGCTGTGAGTCCTAGTTGTGCTGGGGCAAAGGAAAAATCCCTTTTCCTTACTGAAGCTACTGTAGTAGTCTGAAAAAGATGAAGGGCGCTTGGACTAGGGTGGCAGTGAAAATAGAATCAGAGAAGTTTGGAATATATTTTGGAAATAAAACCAACAGGACACAATGGTAAATTCAATGTCAGGGAGAGGAAAAAAAGGAATCAAAGAAGAGGGTTTTAGCTTGAGCACCCAGGTGGATGTCGGTGCCATTGACCCAGGAAGACTAAAGGCAGAAAGGGATTGGAATGGTAGTGGGAGGGTGGCTTGGTCATCAAGAGTTCTGTTTTGCCTGGCTATGTACTACATACCTGTTAGGCAGCCAAGCAGAGATATCAAACAAAGTTGGGTATAGGAGTTTGGAGCTCAGTGGGCAAGGTAAAGTCTAGTGTTATCCATCTGAAAGTCACAGCATGTTCTATATTCAAAGCCATGGGGTCAGCTAAAATTAATTAGGGAGAGGCTGAGGGAAAAGAGAAGGCCAAGGATCGAGGACAGTTCAGCAAGAGACTGAGGAGCCGCCAACGAGAGGAGGAAAACAAGGACAGTGTATTCCCCTGTGTCCCAAGAGACTAAAGTCTTTGTCATGATTTGAGCGTCCCGAATATAATAAGCTGTGCCACAGGAAGTGAAGCATTTACCGATTTCAGGTGGTTTTTAAACAAGTGCTGAACTTGGACTGTCTGCTGTATAGGAAATTGAAACAAAACTTGAGTGGGGAGTAAAGTAAAGAAGGTGGGACTAAATTACCTTAAGATCTGTTTCATCCAGATGAGTCTATCACTGAACCTTACTGTAAGAATCTTTTGTATGAATGTAGAAAAATAAACCATTTTGGTGAAAAACTTAGAACATGTAGCTAAGCTCCCAGTTACTTAGCTCACTTGTTTAGAAAGGGTTCAGCTATTCACATTTTACATTTTTTAGTGGGAAGAACAAAATCTAGAGATGAAATTGTTTAAAAATTAAACGGGGGTCTGTTTTACACATATAAATAGCCAATATATAGTTAGTTGAAATATACATCTATATAATTCTATAATAGCCAATATATAGATATCTTTGGTTAGTGCTAAAGTGATGAAACAATTTGCCTGTATCACAGAATTATAAAAATAAATTCGTTTAAAAAATTCCATTTAGTAGCTTCTTGCTCTTCTATAGTTAATGATGCTAGTTATTCCCCCCCCCAGGCTTCTAGTCTACCAGTTTTCAAATTTTAGTGTACATAAAATAAGAATCAACCGCAGGGCTTTGAAACAATATGTATTCTGAGATTACATCTTCAGAAATTCCGATTGGCTGTCCCAGGAAATCCGTATTTTAAGTAGTATTCCCAGTGATTCTAAGGAAGGTGATCCCTGGAACACACTTGGCACAACGCTGGCCCTGGCGCTCTAGTGCAAGTCTCTAACTCTTCTGGTGGCAACAGTGCCACGTGGATCTCCACGTCTCATTTTTGTTAAAATAACTTTTTAGACGCATAGTTTACATAATAGAAATATAAAACCCTAAGACTGAAAGAATATAAACATCAAATACAGAACTTTTCTTTAGTATTTATGAATAAAATCATCTGCTTTTATTTAAAAAAAATAGGCTTTGGGGGAAGCTTTAATTTGTCCTCAGGAATTCATCCAGTTGTTCTGGAGAGGCCGTCCAGTCTTGAGTTTATTTTCAAGGAAATAATAATTTAAAAAAACACACCAATCAAGCTAACTTCTAATTACTCTTTTTTTGGAGCGATGGACTAAATCAGTTATTTAGAAACTATAGTGAGAGGTGAGGCGCTCTTAAGTGGTTGATATTTGTTTTGACATCCTGACCACTTAATTAAAATGTGCTTTCAGATCTGTTTCTTTTTCTACTAGATATAATTGTTCATGTGAATCCAGTATATTTTCTTAACCCCAAATAGTTTCTAAATGCTATGGTAGTGGAAATTAAAATGAAAGTTAAAGTTTAGAGTACAGTAATATTGTGTGTCCTAGAGCCTGACACTGCTGTTGCTAGACTTTGAATACATTGATTGAAGGAGAGCAATTATGTGCTAGACTTTATAGCTTTCACTCTGCTGTTTCTGCTGCCAGCTGTGAAATCTGCTGGGCTGCTTATGATCCTGAAGTATTTCTTTGTTGCCTCTCAGAATTCTAGGAGATCCTTTAAAAATTAGGACTAAGAACCTAAAGTAGCACAGGTTTGCTGTTCCACGTAAATGTAACCAGCGTGTTCTTGGAACAAGGCTACTTAAGAGACGGAAAATTCTAGCACGTTGGGGTGGTGGGGAGTGAGGTAGGCATCTGGATGCTCTTTCCAAAAGCTTAGATTTTTGTTTCTGGGGGGTTTTTTGAACTAATTAATGAAAAAATGTACAAGAAATACTACAATGATTCTGTTTTCTGTGAGGCATCTCAATGAAAATCATTTCATGGGTTTACAATTCTGAAAGGTGTTACTAGATGAGCAAACACAAGGTCTGCCTTAATGCTGTCAAATAAAAATGTGGCAACTGATACATCTAGTAGCCACTTGTTTCTCATCCCAATTCCATGTTTGAGCTTATAAAATAACTGAAAGCAATCAGAATGTGTATATATTATATATAGGGTAATACCTGTATTAAATCTGGTAGCTTGGTTAATTAAGAAGAACAAGTTGACATCAGATACAGTTGGGAATGTTAGGAGCTTTTAATTCATTTATCCATCATTTCTTGTTTCAGCCAAGCACAACAAATGTCATCTATATTTGAAAACGTTATTAGCTAGGGAATAAAGTTGAAAACCCCCATAAATAACATCTTAATGGGCTCCTGCCTTGAGATTGTTATTAGTCTTCTGCATTAATTATATAGCGTAAATGTAAAATAATAAGTGATTGCATCAAAGCATGGCTTTGGGGGGCTGCTTCAGAAGAAAATAGGTGAATCTGAGCCATCCGCTTCTTTCCAGTGCAGCATTAAAATTTCAGACTTCAACCGCAGTTGTGATTGGTTTTAGTTTGTTAGCTGCCTGGAGCGTTATTTTAAGAAAGCAGAAGCAGCAGCATCTGCGCAGTTCTTATAGAACACACACCTTGACCCTGACCTTTTAGCTCCAGCTTTCAGACGACGCAAAGGCAAGATGAAGAAGCATTTGCTTTTCTGGGGAGTCCTGGCCATTTTGGTTAAGGCCCTTCTTGTGACAGGTATGTGGTATTTTGAAAATAAACCCAGATAAAGGAAAAGTATCACATAGATCTGTTCTTCAGATTTAAACGTTTGTGTTTTGGTTGGCCAGCTAGCTGGCTACTTTTTTCTAACATGCCTTAATCTTTATAAGGGCAGTGATCTTTTTGTAGATAAGACTCATTGTAATCCTTTTTATTACTTATTTATTTATTTATTTATTTATTTATTTATTTATTTATTTATTTATAAATATATCTTTATTGATTTCAGAGAGGGGAAAGGAGGGGGAGAGAGAGAGATAGAACATCAATGATGAGAGGGTCATTGATCAGCTGCAGCCCGCAACCCGGGCATGTGCCCTGACCGGGAATCGAACCCCAATAGCCTGGATCTTAGGTCAACGCTCAACCGCTGAGCCATGCCCGGCCAGGCTATAATCCTTTTTATTCTTCTCTTACTTGTTTGCCTACTATAACCTAGAGAATAAGAAAAATACTTTTCTGGATAAGTATTGATAGCGGTATTTTTCTGGATAAGTAACGATATTATATGAATATCCATATTGAATCCTGAAAATCAGTATTCCTCTCCTTGAGTGTCTTAAATTAGTATTCAGGATGAATGAAGTAATAATTACAGTAAATACAACATACAATGCATTGGGGTTTTATTTCCCCAGACAGACCAGTGTTAGTTCTAAAATCGTTTCTGGATCTGAGCCTATGGATTTATTATGACCCTTTAACAATGTTTAATGTTCTGCGGAGCCTATAACTTGATGGCCAAACTTTGGGTATTTTGTTTATTAACCTTTCAAAGTACTGTAGAAAATGGAATAATTCTGAATATAGAAGTAGAGTTTTTAATGATTTTCATCTAGAAGGGCACATGGATTAGTGTGTTATAATTTGGCTGGGTTGTTTCTGACACTTTCTGAGCTTATTATTCTTATTTTAAGACCGAGTATGATATAATTAAGAATAATCATTTAAAAAAGGGGGACATCTCTAATACTCTCAACCATAAAGATAAAAATGTCAAATATATTTTATACTAATTAAGAATAATGAATTTCTAATAATATTTATAATACATAATACTAAAACATGTACAGTATATTATCTATACATGTTTATAAATACACACATGTATACATATATGAGCTGTCATTTATTGAGCACATGTTCTGTTCTAGGTGCTACGCTAACTACTTTACATATACTATTCTATTTAATCCTCACAACAACCATTTGAGGATAGGTACTATAATTTCTGACATATAGTTGAGTCCACTGAGATTTAGAGGCCAAATATCTTACCTAAGGGGACACAGCAGGCACATGGCAGGCGGAGCCCAGGCCCTCTGACCCTCTAGCCCACACTCGTAACTACTATCCTGTTTTTCCTGTGTAAGAGAATTGCCTTTTAGTAAATTAATTATGTCCATATGTAGTGTGTGTTATTAAGTCTATTTTCTTATTTGTTTGAACTGAATTAAATTTAACAAATATTTATTGAGCACCTACTATGTCTCAGGTGCTCTTTGAATAAAACAAGGCACAGTCTTTAATAATAGGTTTATTAGGGAAAACGCTATCAGTGAGAGAATGTTAGAATATCATAAATCTTGGTGAATTGAAAGTATTTGTACATTTTCTAGTAGGTACATTAGGCTGCCTAATACTTTTCTTTAACAGCAGTAATGTTAGTTTTTCCCCAGGTTTCAGGTAAGAAAATAAATTATATATCACAAATGTAGGTACTTTCTATTTAAGACTTAATTGTCAACTCACATACTTGATTCCGTTTTTTTGGGGCGGGTAGTTCAGGCATTGCTCACTCATTTGTATTTTATTGAGAAAAACATTTAAGAGTCATGAATACAGCAGTAGAGGACACCACTTAGTCATCTTACTCTTCAGAGCGTTAAGAAGAGTTATATGGTCCTCTTGAATTGACTTCATAATGCCTCTTCTCCAATACAATGCAGACTTTAATCAGAAGATTTATTAGGAAGTTATGAATGACATAATAATGCATTATAAAATACTTCAAACAGTTATGAGTACAATAACAGTGACCCTAAAGTGTTTTTTACAATGATTATTATCATTAAGACTGAAATACTGCAATTAGGTTCTCTCTGCTCTGAGATCATTTCTGGAATAATTAGATTTCCAGTAACAGTGATAGCTATCCTGATCATTTAACCTTTATAACTTGAATTTATGTGCTAAATTTTTGGTGTTTTTTTTTTTTTTACAGTTGAGGCTTGATGGGAGGAAATTTTAAAGGTTATTTAGCTAAAATTATAGGAATAAAAAAGATATTTAACATTATAATTATTATTTAATTAGCACTATTAAATAAAGCTATTATTAACTCTTCAAATATCTGTTAACTGAGCAAAGTCCACATATTAATACATTTTCTTTGTTTACTCTTTGCAGCACTTACCAGACCTCTTTTTCTAATACTCAGATTAGCCAATAGATGTTGATACTCAGAGTTAAGGTTTTTATGGTCATCGGTGTATTCATTCATTTATTAATTTTTCTATACTTCTCAATATTTTCTGAATTGTTTTTGCAAATTTATAATACTATATATCTATATATACTATAACTTTAAAACTAATTCTTATAAGGAATATTAGTATAGCACCTATCATTTTATTTGATTGAATCATTATATCACAATAACCTGATTGTTGTTACGAAAAAGAAGAATATAATTAAGTTTATGAAGGGTGTAGTGGAGAATATTTAAAAATCTTATGAAGTAAGATTATTTGGGGGGAGAACGTGCCTGTGCTCAGCTCCAGTGCAACGTAAAGAAACTGTGTATATAAAGGGGGCTCAGGAAGGATGTGACACTTCACACTGGGTTCACAAAGGCTAATATTATTGTTTTGTTCACTTCTGAATGGATTGCTTTGGCCTGAGAGGTTTTGTTTTCTCTCTTATTTTGGTACCTGGCACTCATTTTCACAAGGTTACATCATTCAGAGAGCCGTGCCTCCATTAAAGGCATTAGATTAAAACCAGAAATCTTACTGCGCAGGTGCCCATAGACTGGTCCAAGGGGAAAAGAGAAAATTCCTTTTGGAGTGCATTTGGATTTCCTTCACTGTGCTGTGAGATGCTACTCAGCTATTTTAGATTAGGAAGGAGAACAGGTGGAGAAAGCTGAACTTGATCAACTGTAAAATGGAATTTTTCTGCAGGAAAAAAGATTAAATCAGTACAAAGTTGACAAGTAGATTTTCGTTCCCACTTCTCTTTAATACGTTGTATCTTTCCAGCCCAAGACGAAGAAGAAAGGATTGTTCTTGCCAAAAACAAATGTAAGTGTGCCAGCGTTAGTTCCAGGATCATCCCTTCTCCCGAAGATCCCAGCCAAGACATTGTGGAGAGAAACATCAGAATTATGTACGTGGTATTTCATATTTCCTTTCTTCATGTTGTGAGCAGAGATACTGGCATGTCAGCTATTGTTTGAAGGTAGCACCTGTATCTTTGCTCCTCTGTTTTTGATGTGTAGAGCCTGACATGAGGTTGAATCTGGTTAATGGGCTTGAGCCAGTTTTGCACAAGTTGGGAGCAGGAACAAGGTCTCCACACAATCTAAAACCAGCCAGCTACATCAGATGATTATAACTGAAGATTCAGACCTAGTCATCAACATGCCCTGCTCGTGTGGTTCTTTCCATTGGAATCAGAACTTTTAGTTGCTTTGATCAGTTCAAACTGAAACTTGAGATGACATTCAAAACTTTATTTTGTACCACGTCTTGACTGCAGAGTATTTTACATAGTACTTAGCTGTCTGCATAAAGGTAAGGTAGACTGATCAAACTGACTAATTTAATTTAGTCGTCACTTATACATTGGACTTCAGATACTCATTTTATTTCACACGTAGTCCAAATTATAAGTTATGAGTCTTGATGTTTAATTTCCAAAATGCTAGTAATATTTAAGAAATAAGATTCCTATTGGACCCAATCAGTAAAGTCTTCCTTGTGAACTCCCCCAGTGGGGTACCTCTTATAGAAACGAAGTAGCATTCAATTCCATCTAATCAGTGGAAGAAGTAGAACATGCCTAAAATCTTGTTTCAAGTTCTGGTTGGGCCACTTACTAGCTGTGTGCTCTTGGATGCAAGTTACTTATCTACGCTAAACTTCGGTTTGTTCATCTTTATATCTCGTAGGGCTATTGTAAAAATAAATCGAGATCTATCCCTTTTAGAGAATGTATAGTTCCTGGCATATTTTCGAAAAGCATTTGCTGTTATTTATCCACCTAACCTACATGCCAGTTATCATTATGACACTGTACTTCTTAAAACACCTTTGCTGGCTTACCCCGCCTTGCTATTACAATCAGTTACAAATGCCTCCGCCTACCCTGCAACACTGAGCCTAACTCTCAGGCTCTTCCATTCGCACTTTTTCGCCTCATGTTTGAAAATCCGGCAGTATTGTAGTACTCTTGTTTTTCCTCACTCAGTGCTTTCTGCCCCTTCTGATTCTGCATGTGCACTCGGCTCCTTCTTAAAAGCAGGACAGCTGGGGAGCATGCGACTGGAAGGGATGGAGGGCGTTCAGGACACTGGCACATAAACCATTCGGAAGAGGAGTGTCCATCTAATGTTTAAATCTTCAGATTTTTAAATGGCACTGCGATTCTCTATTTCATCTTTTTTCCTCTGACCATTCTTTTTGTGATATTATATTGTTTTCTGAATTCAGATGATTCAGTTCCTTCATCCGCTTTGCCTGATGTGGATTGTGGTTCTCGGGTCTCATTTCTGAGAGTTTCTGTTGTTATTGCCATGTCAGGAGGGCACTATTCCCAACTCCATCGCTTACTAATGATATGGCTTTGGGCAAGTCATTCAAGTAATTTGAGCCTGTTTCCTAAACTATAAAAAAGGGGTAATATGTATGTCGATATACACACATACTTTATAGGGTTGTAAGAACTACATGTGACAATGTGTAAAAGCATCCTGTACAGCGTTTGACCCAAAGTAGACATTCATACATGCTTATTCCTTTATCTCTATCAATATTTAAAGCTTTTTATGATATTACTAGAGCCTTTTTAATCTAATAAAGAATAGATCCATTCATTTGACAAACATTTATTGAGTGCTCCTGAATGCCATTGAGGATTGCACTGGGGACCGTTGGAGAATTTACAGTCGAGCAGGGAACTGTAAATGACTAAAAAGGCAATTACAGTATAGCCTTGTAAAGGCTCTGATGACAGGGATAGGCATAGCATGTTGGAGGCACCCGGCCCCATCCTGGGGGTGCGTGGAGAGGGCCAGCGGAGGCAGGAAAGGATGTTGGAGTAAGTGGGTGATGGCTGTTGGCTGGCCGAGTGGGAGTTAGCTGGTAGGCGTGGGGGGGTGGCAGGGTTGTGGGTGAGGCACATCATTCTAGGGACGGGAAACGGTTGCTGTGAGGATTACATGAGGTCGTCGTCTCACATGGTTAGCATAGTACCAGGCACACTGTGGGCACTTAGTAAACATTAGAACTGTTACTGTTTTCGTTATTGCTAAGACGTGGAGATGAGAAAAGCACGGTGAGTTTGTGGAATTGCAAGCTGCTGTTGACAGCTGGCATGTAGTGTAAAGCGGGTGGCATGGTGAGAGATGAGGCTGGGGGGTGACAGGCATGTCATTAGAGGTACCCTGTTATTTGTGGGGAGACTAGGTTTTAAGCAGAGAAGGGAAAATTAGGCCTGTATTTGAGAAAGGCCGTTTTGGCAATAATGTAGCTAATGCATTGGAGGGGTGAAGGCTGAAGGAGGGCATAGCTAGAGAGAAATGGTGCTGAAACAAGTGGGCGGGTTCACAGATGCAAAGAATTAGATTCAGCTGGACTGTGAGATGGTTTAAATATAGGTTGTGACAGAAAGGGAGGACTCAGGCATGGTATCCAGGTTTTAGCTCGGATATTTATGTGCGTATTATTGCTAAACACTGAGTTAGGAAACACGAGTTTTTCTTTGTATCTTTTGGTAGGGAGGGGTGCCTATGAGGAGGAATGATGACACAGATGAAAACATGTAAAAGTTAATAAAATCACCTGAACTAGTTGATAAGCATTATTTAATTTTTCATGGAAATCACCAAATCAGGAGACTTGGATTCCAGCCGCCGCTTTACTACTTAGGAGTTGTGTGATCCTGAATAGGTTGCTAACTTCTCTGATTTATAATTTACGCATCTGAAAAATGTGGATAACGATATCTGTTCATTCGTTCCACAAATATTGAACATATTCCATGTGCCATACGTGTAGCGAGGTGCTGGGAATACATAAATGATTTTGCCTCAAGGAACTGTGTAGTCTAGGGAAGCAATTATTCTGTAGACAGGCAACTATGACAGGGTGTTTGTTATAATAAAGTGATATGAGCTTTAGTGCGACTACAGAGGAAGGAGCTTATTGGGGGAGGGGATGGGATCAGAGTAACCATTGTAGAGGGTAAAACTTGAGCTGATTGTTAAAGGAAACAGGGGTTTGCCAAGTCAGCAAAGATCACCGACAAGGGAGTTGTGAGGTTTATTTTGGATGGGAAATGCTTAAATTATAGCAAATTACTGTGAAATCTGAGCATTAGTATCACTATAGATTTCTTTAGAGTGCTAAATGTACTAAATGTCCTGATGAAAGAGCAAGTGCTGTCCTACAATATACCCATTACCAAAAAATAGCAACATCTGTTAACTTCATTATTTTGACTTGTTTTTTTCTTTTTTTTAGTGTTCCTGTGAACAACAGGGAGAATATCTCTGATCCCACCTCACCACTGAGAACCAAATTTGTGTACCACTTGTCCGACATGTAAGAGATTTTCCTTTATACTAGTATATATGCAAGTTTTACTAACTTTTAAAAATTAACTTGTTAGTAAGAATGTTTTGGAAAATATGTTGGGGTATAAACATTTACCAATATAATTTGAACTTTTGAATACATTAATTCCTATGTTAATTATTAGATATCATAAACTGATAAAACTTTATCACAGATAAAAGTTAGCCATAAGTTAATTCCAAAGAAGAAATATTTGCCATTAGTACAGGAAGGGTCACTTTGTCTTAATAGCTCAGTAATTGGATTTCAGATATATTCACATACAGGTGTTTTTTTGGGAACTGCAGAATTTAATATCAAACAATTGCTTAAAAAAAAAAATTCTTCCTTCTTTGTCGTATAAATAACTTGTTTAATTCTAATACGCGATTGGTAATGAATCTAACCGAGGAGAAGTTGCTGTATGGTGTAGGCAGAACAACCCTATTGCTTGCTTTCAACTAATTTTTATATTAAAGGTTGAAAAAATCCCATAAACTATCCTGTGTTGTAGAGCAGCTGAGTTCCGAGAGGAGTCACCCTTTGTCAGTTGTCGGGCAGAGCTGCAAGAACTAATTGATTCTGGATGCAGCAGCATTTGATGGATTGTCTAATGCATAGGTTTGTGTTTCAGCTGTAAAAAATGTGATTCTACAGAAGTGGAACTGGACAACCAAGTGGTTACTGCCTCCCAGAGCAATATCTGTGAGGAAGACGATGAGGTCTGCTACACTTACGACAGAAACAAGTGCTATACAAACAGGGTCCCGTTTTCGTACGGTGGTAAGACCATCATGGTGGAGACAGCCTTGACCCCCGAGTCCTGCTATCCTGACTGACTGAAGCCATTGCCGACCGCACAGCTGCTTATCTTCAAAGGCTCTCCATTTTGATCCAGAAAGTTAATATATTTACTGCCAATGAATTTGAAACCACAATTTTTTGATAATGTTAAACTATCCCCACCCCCAAGTGATTGAAATAGTAACATTGTTATTTTTATTAGGTAATTACTTCTCAGCTCTAAGTATTGTATGTTCACATTCTGAGTGTTGAAATCTCTTACTTGCCTGAAGGGGTATATGTTAAGAATATAATTTCTAACATTTAAAAAAATAGACAAGGAGAGAAAGTAAAACTCAAGGTTAAAAATCAGGATACAGAATTAATTTTTTTTTTTTGCTTTGCCTTGGAGAGCCAGAGCTTTTGCACATTCCATGCTATTGTCTTCAAAGAAAGTAAAACTGTGTAGAGAAAAGTGCTATGTAAACACAGGTGATTATAGGTCTTCATTAGAAAATGATTGGAAAACGTGTTTTAGAAATACTTACAAAAATAAAATTGGATCCTTTATATTTGTGATACCAGTGAGCTGACATAATTATATGCATAATTGAAAAATATGTTTTGACATAACAGATTTGGTAGCAGATGATACAGATTTTTTTTTGGATAATTTTTTTTTAATTTTTATAATCAGGCCAGTGTAAGAAATTTCCACTGGAAATCACCAGTGTTGTAACTGAATCTAATGAAGTATGTGTTCCAAAATATGTATTCTCTAGCACAGTTTGAACAATTAAATAGATCCTTAAGCATATACCTGTGTGAAATAATTTATTGGGAAGAAGTTTGTGTTAACTTTGTGTATGTAAGTTAAATATAATTGATTACTTATGAATAGTTTGTAAGTATGATGTAATTATGCACTAATCACTGAATTCGCACATGTATATATCTGAGGTAGCTTTGTGATTTAAAACTAAAGTTAAATAAAAAGGAAGGTCCCTCCCAACAAACATAGTATTCATAAGTTCAGTTAACATCTGTCACCTCATACAGTTACAAAACCAATTTCCTTTCCTTATGATAAGAACTTTTAGGGGGAGATTGTTTCTGGAGTGGCTCCTCTACTCCCTTGCCATCTTTTCCTTTGTTCTTCTGCCTACCCAGTAGAAAAAGTTTTTGTTACTACATTGCCTCAAACTTACAGTCCTGTAGGTCTTCCTTTTTTCAGAAGTTCAGTTAAACTTGAAGACAATCATATTTTTATTTTATTTTTTTAAAATATGTCTTTATTGATTTCAGAGAGAGGAAGGAATAGGGGAGGAGAGATAGAAACACCAATGGTGAGAGAGTCATTGATCGGCTGCCTCCTGCTCGCCCCCGACGGGATGGAGCCCGCAGCCCAGACATGTGTCCTGACCGGGAATTGAACCTCAATCTCTTGGATCCTAGGTCGATGCTCAACCGCTGAGCCACGCCTGGCTGGGCGACAATCATATTAATAACAATTTAGCATTCACCATTTGCTAGGCATCAATCAGTGCTTTATTAAGTATTAACTCATTCACTATAAATCCAGAGTAGCTGGTGGCTGTTAAATGAGAATTATTGAGGAAAGATGGAAGCCTTCCTGTTAGTTTCACTCATAGGTTTGCTTGTGTTAGCAGTTTAGCAGGGAAACACTAAGGAAGCGATGCAGATGAGGCAGCTCTGAAAGGAGCCTCCCGGCTCTTTGCAGGACACGTGTTTGACCGGCAGCCTGGTAACCCACCACTGTGCTTGTATGAGGCCCACGGGCTGCTCCCAGCCAGTGACTGGGAGTGTCAAAGACACTACGGCCAGTTCCTGGGAGACACAGGACTCCTCTGATGGGTGACTGACTTGGGGACTTCCCATCAGCTTCACTGACAATTTCTGAGCACTGCCCCACCATTATATATCACCTACGCAGCCATCTCCTCCGCACGGGTCGGACCTGATCCAGCCTGATGCCTCCCCCAGCTGCCTTGGGCTCCAGCCCCATTTTCTTTTGCAGGGTTTTTCCTAATAAATCTCTTTACCTTTGATCTCATCTTGGATTCTGCTTCTGTAGGCCTTGAATGAACACAGTGGTCAATCATGGCGTACCTGATTTAGTGATGATGATGTCGATACTGAGCACTCTTCACATGCCATGTGACTCACCTATGTCATCCCATTTTATCCTCAGAATAACTCTTGGGTTTGCTTTTATGTTGTTTATGAGAAAATGAACTCAGTGCATAAGTAACAGTTTCACTGGTTCACTGGTCTAGTAAATGGCAATGAAAACTCAATCACTGCCATAGCCTCAACAAATACCAGTAGATTCCCTTTGATAACCATTTATGCCCACTGTAACATCTTACAGTTCATGTGGCATTTTGAGGTCAGTGTGACAAATTCACTGATTTCTTGTAAGTCAATTATTTTTGTACGTTTTGTACTCCTTTTAAAATTTGAATTAAATGGACGATATTTTTAAAGGACAGGCTTAAGTGGGCATTTGTGGTGAGAATGTTCCCTCTGCACTGAGCTTAGCTATTACTTAAGTGAGCACATTCAGCACCAGCCAGAGAAAATTACTGTAAGAGTTAATCAACAGTAAGAGTAATGTTCCTTTGTGCCAGGCCCTTAAAAACCAGCAGATCCAAGTCAATTATTGTTTTCACTTTAAGACTGCTGTCGTTTTGGATGGTTCTATGTAATTTGATATTCAAAATGAACCATAATTATGCCTCTGCAGTCACAAATATGCAGATGTATACACACTCATTACCAGACATGTGTGGACCCCCACCTGGGAGCAGTGGGATAGGAACGTTACCCGTTCGTGCACTTTCCAGGTCTTGGCTGGGGTGGCTGTGTAGTGTTGTGGGTAAATCCACGGCTAGGTGGAATGCAGACTCTACTTAGACTAAATGACAGGTCACTAAGGGCAAGTTCATTCTCACTGAAAATAGGAGTAAAAATAACTATTTCCTAGCTTTTTGTAAAAATAAGGATACATGCTGTCATTTATGTACAGCATGTATCACTTAGCACTGCTATTGTAGCATTCAGGAACCTTCTATAAACTGCACTTGTCACTGTGTGTTAATTGACTTTTGACTGCCCAGGCAACAAATCAGAGAAAAATGTGACCATATTGGATCACCGATTCTCAAACTTTAGCATGCATGAGACTCACCTGGAGGACTCATTGAAACAGATTGCTGACCCCCACCCCCACCCCCCGTGATGATTAAGTAGGTCTGGGAAGCAGCAGGAGCAAGTGCATTTCTCAAAAAGCTCCCAGCTGCTGCTGGGGATTGTGTGAGCCGCTGCTTTAGAGCTCTAGGCCGCCGTCTCCACCTAGGGGCTGGTTAACGAAGTACAATGTGTTTGCATTTTTTAACACGTTTCATTTAATCCTCAACTGCCCTATGAAATAAGTACTGTCTTCATTTTACAAAAGCTGAAACTGAGATGCCAGAGATGAAGTAATCTTTGTAAGGTTTCACAAATAGTGTATGGAGAAGTGGTAACTGAATCCAAGACTGTCCAGCTCCAAAGCCAGTGCTCTCATTCAGTATGTTACCCTGTCTAACATAAATTTCGGACCATTTCCTTCAGTAATGCCACTTCTGGGGAAATAAGAAATGTGAACAAAAAGCACAAAGATCTTTGTCACAGCATTATTTATGATAGTGAAAATGCATAGTAAACGTTAAGTCTGTCGTCAGAGGGAATGATAATATTGGGTATACTTCAGAATATTTTAGAGATAACAAAAATGAAGTTTTAAGTGGTTTTAGTTTTGTGGAAATTGTTCATACAATGCAAAGAGGGAAAATACAGAATATTTCATAAAAGAATCACTTTAAGACCCTCCCAATACACACATGTAAGAGAAAATAGGCGACAATATTAACATTGGATGGTAGGATTATGTATTACTTTTGTTTCCTTTTACTTTTCAGTATTTGCCAAGTATTTTACAATGAGTATATATTTTATACTTAGAAAAATATTCATAATTAATTTTTAATCAAGTAATTTAAAGCTTGGGAAATTCTAAATTTCTACCCATTTACAAAATGTATTTAAAGAAAATGTGATTTTATTTAGCATCTACTTTGTGCTCAGCACAGTTCCAGTTGCTGTGATGGATACATAAGAATAGGAACTGGGCTGCACTTCTTGGGAGTTTTCTTCCCCCTTCTACAGGCCGAACTAACACAAAAACATCAGCACACGACATACGACAATATGTGATTAAATATAAAAGATGATGTGCTATGGGCCTTGGGGGAGGCTGGGGTAATCTGGAGGAGATAGTCATGGAAGGACTTCATGGATGGAAGTAGAACTTTCTAGACCTACATGAGCCAAGCAAAGATACAGGAAGAAGCATAACCTAAATGTGGAGCAGACGGGACTGTCCTGCTCTTTCTCTTTGGGTTCTCCAGCGACCCTTGCACTTACATGCTTCATTTATACACATGCCCCTGACTGGTGATATTCAGATTTTCCAGGGGTCAAGACCTTTCTGATCCCCCTGTGGCGAGTGTGCAGTTGTCCCTTCTTTATAGCAAATAGCCCAGCACTTCGATACTCCGACTTCGGTCTTCCAACTGGCTGACTCATGGCCGCCGGGAAGCCCGTTCGTGACGCAGAATTGCAGACCCCACTGCGGGTCACGGAGTCAGGGTCTGCGTTTAAGGAGGTTCGCGTGCACCCGAGAGCGTGAGAAACATAGAGCAGCGATGCGGGCAGAAACAGCCGAGTCCTGGGGAAGGGGCCTCCGCCGGCAGGGTGGCCGGCTGGGGCCGAACGAGGCCCTCCGGCAGCATGTCCTGCGTTGCCCTGTCCTGCACATGGCATGGTTAGGAATGGTTAGGGCTCACCGTGGAAGGGCACCGTCAGTGACTCGGGAGACTGCAGACCAGCCACACCTGAGAAGAAACCGTTCACCGGCCCGGGACTGCAAAAACCTGCTTTGTCCAGTGAGGCAAGGAATGAGTCGTGGTTATTTGGATAGGAGCCAGAGGAAATTACTGTCCCAGCTCTGCTGAAGCACAGAGGAGAGGCTGCTGGGCCCTTAGGCAGGGGAAATGGGCCCTGAGGCAGGGGACCTTGGCCGGGGAAGCCATGGGGCTGAGCCGCTTCCTCTGTTTCTCAGCGATGTCTGTGTCACATCCAGCTCAGCTCCCTTCTCCTTTATTTGAAGAACCTGCTCTGCCAAAGGGGATTTTGTTTGTTACCAGCTGAATCTTGTTGGCTGCGAATTCAAAGCGAGAGAGAAAGGGCCAGTGGCTGCGGGTGAGAGGCACCCAAGAGCAGGCGGACCCGGGCAGGAGCCCGAGTCCCTTGGGCCCGGTGACCCCCCCGTTTCCCGGCAGCTGCGCTCTAATTGTTTCCTCCTGCACTGTAACTGGGCAGCTGGTCTGAGTCACAGCGAAACCTCGGAGGTTTTGTGAAGGAGCGTCAGAGCTGTTGATTTCAACCCAACATTTCTGGTTCCCTTTTTGGTTTTTAAAAATGAAGTTTGGTTTCCTGAGGGCAAGATGAATCTTCTTTAGGGTCCTTCGGGTCATGACGGAAGCAGAGAAGGATATGTCAAAGCAAGCGATAAAAGTGACTCAAAGGCCATGTGTCGTGAATTTCCTTTAAAGTTGTTTAAAGTTAAGACTGATGTGAATGAGTAAAATAAAGCATCTTCGGGACATTCAAAAAGCCAGAGGAAGAGTCTTCATGATGATGGCTGCTCGGCCAAGTTTTCAGAGGTGGCTGGACCTCAGACTTCATTACCCC